TATATCAATACAATAGCGTGAGGAGCACTAAGAAATTGAGTATAAGTTGTTAGAGAAAATGGTGCCAGGTTTAGTCAGATAAGTATTAGACCCACATGCAATTGTTCTAAATTCTATAGGACTTTCAGGAAATTTTAGACTTATAATTGAGTAAGGAAATTGTATTTTACTAATTTTAATTTTCAACTTTCTATATAAAGCTAAAATTTTTTTAATGATAATATTATTATTGAAATCACTAAGCTTAAAATGTTTAAAATTTTTTGACAAGTATTTAAATATTTAATAGAGAATTTTTTGCGAATTGATTGCATGATATTAATATATATATTTTGCATTATTTTAAAACATATTTTTAAATTTTTTTAAAAAAAATGTTTTTTAAAAATATTTTATTTTAATAATTTTTCTTCTTCTCTTTTCATAACACTTTTTTTTTCATAATCTCATAACAAGGGCATTTGGCATAACAAGGTTTTCGAGTAGAAGTTCGAGACATCGAAAGTATATATAACGCAGAGGGAGCTGCAGATTAGTCTGCTGCTCCCTGCGCGTGCTGGATAGTTTCTACTACCAAGAATATAGCATGCTTTCTAACTTATATAATAAAATGTAACTTATGTATTAAAGTTAAAATAGACTCACACATTCCAGGGACAGCTAGAATAATGCACTGCCACAAAGCCATCGTAAACATATACGGATTCATAGAGAATGCTGCATGATATATAATTGTTGGGAAGAATACGTGCATTAAAAGTTGAGCATTAGACTTGGAGACATTCGTGAAAATGTTCAATTCTTTCACATTGAGATCTATTATACCCAAAACCAATCCATAAATGAAGATTATTGCTGTATACGGGACTGGCAGGTTTTTCAAAAATTCTCGACAGATAACTAAAATAACAAAGAATTCGGTATAAAAATGTACAAGATTGTCTCAGTGTTGAAACATATTTTCAGATGAGTTCAAGTACTTAATAAGGAATGGAACTTCCGAAGCAACCCATGACCGAAATCGTGAGGTAAAAGTGATAACAGAGACATATATCTTGTAGGACACAAGACAGGGATTGAACTTTTACATTCATATATCAACTCTCAGCCAAAGCTTTTTCATCATTACAATCCTATATATGGTCTTATTCACCAAAACCAAAAACCATACTCATAATATTGAACAACACGGTTTACTTAAGTCGATATGAATTGGAAATGCGAAAAATTAAAAATAATGTTTTACAAATTGTGTTGTAAGTGCAATATAGCTTTTGTAATTTTGAAATAATAATTATTTTTTCTTCACTATTATTCTGCCAAGTATTCATATTCGTCCAAAAAATATAAATTAAAAATTTCAACAAGTATGGAAGTTAAGCATCATTTCAAGCGACTGATATGGGTTAATTGAAAACCTTAATGGAGTACAAATTGTGTATTAGAGAAAAACAGTTTATAATCCTGAAAAAATTTATTGGGTTGGTAATATCTAACCTAACTCTGCATTTAAGATCTTGCAAGCTAGTAAGGATAAAGGACATGTAGATTCAATTCTTTTCAAAACTACGAAAAATATAAATTGGAAATTTCGGAGGCCAACTGAGAAAGGCCTTCTTGACTCTGTTTGGCCCCAAGTCAAAATTCGTGATAGTCCCAGCAAAAGATTTTGATGGTTAATGTTGGTTTCAGTACGATTCATGATGGTCCAACATCATTTGATGGTCACCATCATCCAACATTTTTCATTATGAGTTCAGGTTTTCGACATGACAGTAGCATTTTCCATCATTTCAAGATGAAAAATGCTACTTTAATACTATGATGGCTAAGTTTGATTCTCATGGACCAGCAATCAATGATGATCCGTGATTGTCTACGATGGATCCCACTATACATTTCTATGATGATTAAATGGGAATTCTTGTCTGTTCTCTGGAATATACCATAAAAACAATTTGTTTTTTTTCATGATTGTCCATCATAAATCTGTCCGAATTCCTACATTGGGATGATGGTTGTTCATGATATTTTAAGCATTTGATTTCTAAGAAACTATGATGGAAATTTCTGATGGTTTAACATGAACAAACATCAAAACAAGTTGCTATTCTAATGTTGGACCATCATAAGTAAGCCCGAATTCCTACATTGGGGTGATGGTTACTTATGTTAGTTACCATCAAAAATATAATTGTTCATGATGGAATTATTGATAGTTACAATCAAGATTATGTTGGTCCATCAATGGAATTTCAACTTAGGGCTGTGAGTATATTATCTTCAGTATATAAGCTTCAGCTCGGACAAGTTGGTAGGGACAAAAGGCATTCGTAGACTAGATTTATTACAGAAGTACAAAAATAAATAAATAAGCAGGAGATCCTAGAGGACAGTGGAGAAAAGTATGTTCATCTGGTTTAAGAAGATTAATCCAGCGGTTAGAGAAGTACAGCCATTATTGTACAAATCTATGACACCGAGGAGTTAGGGAAATAGCAATGTATGGAACACTTCCAAATAAATCACTTCTGAAACGCGAACATTAAAAAATACATCAAATTGAAAGGTCACTCATGCCTATACGCTCACTCATGCGTATAATTAAAGCTGAAATTATAAAACTTGTCTTTCAATATCAAATTGATGTTATTAAAAAAAGTCAAATTGCTTACATCCTGTATGATGATTGAAATCTGCCTAAATTCTATTTATTTTATTATTATTATACAATTTATATGGGAATACTAGTTAAATTTCTCATTATACTTACCAGCTACGAAAAGTGAAACACAAACAAAAGCGATTCCAGGCATGAAATAGTTCTCGTCATGGCGAACATACGTTTCATTGGTTTTATTGCCAAAAACTTGCTCGATTAGAGAAACAACAAATGAATTACCATTCACCACCATCTTGATATAGGTTTGTCTTGATATGTGATCGATGTCAGTTCTATTGAATGAAGAAGAAATGAATCAAACATTCTCTCTTATATTTGTGCAAAAGAATAAAATTAATATACCGTTGCAAGTATTGGCATTTGTTGAACCATAATATTGTTCCTATTTGGCGCAATTGTGGCAAAGTGTAAACTGTAATATCCAAATAATTTCTAGCGTCTTAATATACAATACATGTTTCAGCTGGATAACATGATTCAAGCGAGCACCATTTCATTCTGTTGCAGTTGTATTATAAATGATGTTAACCATTGTGGTTAAGTGGTTAACGTGTTAACCACTTAACTTTCTCAATTTATTCTCCCTTTGGTAAAAAAGGCGTTTGATTTTTAAAATCAAACGTCTAATTCTCCGAATTTTTTTATTTTTTTATTTTTACCACATTTATACTACTGTGTAATGCTTTGTAATGTTTTTATTATTTCCAATGAGCTGCACAAGTGCGCACATGAGCAGACCTAGTGCGTTCTCAAGAAGTGGTATCCACTCTTTCAGGACCACCACAATAGGTGAGATACCGTTGACCATGTTAATTTGGACGTCTAGTTTCTGCCACTCTAGATGGCAGCACCGACTCTTATTTGGATGCTAAAGTGCACTAGGAATTCAATTTTGCCGGAAATGCCGAGAACCAATAAGGCACTCCAGGGATCTTTTACATGCCGCATAATCATACGACATGGCCGCTGAGGATTTTCTACATTCCGAAAATCCGCTGTCTGGGCCAATGTATTTTATGAATATTTTATGGCTGGGTAATGTTTCTCATGAAAAAAAATCTAACATTGATTTAATTATTTCAAAGCGAATTTTAATGAATCTATTTTATGAATTTGAAATCAATCGCATTTTCAACTTTCGCTTTTATTTTGAATAAAAAGTGACTCAAATACGTTATTTTTTTTAAATCACACTTTGTATTTTACCACACTTTATATCATTTTTTATAAAATATTATTACGTTCCTTTGTTTTTCTTCAGAAGTTATGAAAATTGTTTTGTTTCTCGGAAGAATCTACGAATTTCATAAAAATTAGATAAAGAAAAATGTCAGTGTAGGAAGTACCGGGCAATGGCTTTTATTCTTAAGAAATCAGTGTAAGATCAAGATCAGTGAAGACCAGACAAAAGCACTTTACCTAAAAATACACCAATTTTGGAAAGAGTGGTTAATAATCCTTAAACTTAAAAATAAAACATTAAAAAAAACCCATCAGTGTAAGTAAAACCAGGCAAGTTTACACCGATCAATGGCACTATAACTCCATAATTAATAGTGATAGGAATATGAATCATTTTTCAATTACTAAACTTGCAAAAGAAAGACAAACATCCACTTTGCGTAGGTAAAATAGCACTGCATGCCTTCAATTTAAAAATTTTGTATACCAGGCATTACTTTTAGAATGGTACAACCTAATTATCATCCGTATCATAAGCTTTTTGTTCTATGGACAGGACTCTTTCTTTTTAATTTACAATTTGGAATTTTCTAGTAGACAACAGCAAAGAATTTATAGTTTAATTATTTTTATCATTAATTTTTTAAACAAGCCATTTAAAAAAAAAATTGTAGTTACGTGAGTTTGAGTCAAATAAAAGCTTCACTATTTTGTGCTTTATAGTCTCGATTAATTTATAATAAATTGACTATAAAACATTTTACAGATTTAAGACAGTTTTACAGAATTTACCAGTTTTCATCTGGAAGTCCAGTAAACTCCAAACAAATCGTCCCAGAATTAATGAAATTAGTTGAAAGAGATATTTATACAGTTATAAGCTAAAGGAAAATAAATAACTATTAACTAAAGTAATAAATATTTCATTAAATGATTTCAGTGTTTCAGTGGCAGGTGCTTTGATATTAGAAGCTCTGAAATATGTGTTCGTATCTGGATATAAATAATCAGCAATATTTACCAAACAAAGGGGAAAAACATCAACAAAGAAACTAGTTCTCATTTGGATTGGCGTGACTCGATCGAAAAATTAGTTTCATAGCATTTTCAGGCGTTCGCAGTAAACTTCAACCTATCTTTTTTATTTATTTCACGGATCCAAGATCACGGGTCACGAGCTTAACAGTTACCATAGCGACAGGTTTTTAGTATAAATTTGAAAATTTTCAGTCGTAATGAAATAGACCTTAGTACAAATAGAAAAGCACAGTTTCAAAACCTAATCATTAATAAAATTAATAAGATTTGAAGATATGGCAGATTTTAGTAAAATTCCTGGCGCCGATCAAATTTCCGATCTCTCAAGCTGGGAAATAGCCTTGATTATCGGGATAGGTGCTGCAGCTCTTCTTGGTGTCGCTTACTGGTATATCAACAAAAGTGATAACCCTCAATTATAATATAATGGAAGATAGGTAAGTTACAGATATTTATTAATAACTTAGAATTGAGGATTTTAATATGATTCGTGCAGTGTTAAACCAATACTATAATTGGGAAGATTTGTACAGTTGCTGACTAATATTTCGATTTTATTTGAAACTTGGTACATTAGTTATGTACTTAGCTCTTCAAGTAATTTATTGATATGAATGTAGAACTCGTAACCCCATGAAATGGATATAATACTTAAGAAGTGGTACTGCATATAAAATCTTCCAATTTCCTAATAATTCTATTTTGATTATTTACAGTTAGAAAATCTAGCTCTTAAGCCATTTTGGTTAAAGTGTAGAATCGGGGCATCTGAGATTTGGCGAATTGAAAACATGCCTATTATACATATGAAAATAAACCAAGAATCAATCACATAACGGTAAGTAGAAATAGTGGTAACCTGATGCTAACGTTACTGAAAGCATAGACAGCAAGAAAAGAATATCATGGTAATTACAAACTGAGTTTCAGCAAAATTTTATAATTGAAGTTTGTCACCAAACAAAGCGGGCCCCTAATTTTATACTTTATACAAAATGGCTTAAAATCAAAGTGAAGAATTTAATAAACTATTTGTATGTCATAAAGTACTCCCAAAATTTGTGTATTAATTTGAATTTTTGGTAATGGTAATTTGCGAGATAAAATATCGCCAAGAATAATAAAGTAAAATAAAGCGCTATACGAAAGAATAAAAAGTTTTCATTGTTGATATACATTTCAAAATATTTAGTTTTTCTTGGGTTTAATGATCAGAATTGACCATCTAGATCATGCAAATTAGTGCTGCTCAATTAGTGCTAAATTATGTACATAAATAATTAATATTATTTTATTTAAAAAAGGTAATAGTTACAATAAAAAGATGGAATTAATTTCGGAAGACAAAATAAATCAACTTGTAATCAGAGTACACGAATAGCTTTTAAATAGCTAATTAAAGACCATTAATAAACTATTTGTTAAGCTTAGATTGATTTAAGTTCACAATTGTTGACGTTTTCTTAGAGAAAATTAGCACTGCATCAAATTTCAGCGCCATTTATGCAAATATGTTGTTGAAGTTTTCGACAAAATTAGGCGAGGTACTCTAAATTGTTCACTTTATGACTCATTAATAAATTAACAATTTAGAATTAAAACTACTCGTTTTCTATCAAATTTACTAATTTTGCGAGATTTTAGGTACCCTGTGTACCTGTAATAACATGAAGAAAAATTATGCAATTAAAAATATTCAATAAAGTTATTCAAAGTTCATAAGGTTGTCAAAGTAGTTACCAAAAGTGTTACTCACCAACAATAAACATTGAAACATTTATCCAATATAGCAAAGAGAAACAAAAAAGTCTCGTTTATTTACAGAGAAACAAAGTTATGGTAAAATTACGGTAATGATACTTCTGGTAAAAAACTCCATTAATTTGGTAATAAAACCAAAATATCTGGTATTTAAACCATTCACTTGTTAATTGTTTTGTTCATAACATAACTGTTTATCGGAAATTTTGGTTTTCAAAATTGTTGCTCTTATTACCATACATATATTTCAAATAGAAAACTAAAAAGTGAATTTAGTCGAATAGATGGTTTTTATGTCCTTCTCTAGGACGTCATGATAATATTACCGAATTTTACCATATTTTTAATTAAACATCATAGTAATAAAACCATATTTTGTGGTTAATTTTTCAAAAAGTCATTACGAAACCACTTTGCTAAATTTTACCACATTTGGTAGCGTACATACTTTTTCCCTTCTCAGTGCTTACTTCTAGTTAATACTTTTAAGAGTAACTGTGAAAGAAAGTTACTCTGTCAAAGATAGTACAGTAAGTAAAGATACTAACCTAAAAATAAAGTGTAAAATATAGTTTATTTTTAGTTGAAGCGATGTTCTATTGGCTCTTAGATCTCCATTTGCAATATGAAAGTATGCTATGTGTTTCATCATTCTAACAATAAATATATTTATCCATTTTCAAAAGATATATGACTTATAACTTATAAACCATCGTTTTAAATTTACCAGATATTTCATACATTGCCAAGATAAGTAGACTTGAACAGTCGGTCGAGTATTTTTGATACTACACCGTTTCGGAGGGCCGTAAAAGATCTGAAATCTAGGTCCTAACTTTGGGATATTAGTTGAAAAGGTGAATGCTCCATAGCATCCATTTTCTGAAAGAAAAAAAGGCAGTTTTTCTTATTCATTCTCAGCCTAAAGTCGTACAAAACACAAAAGGATTCACATCAGTAATAGTTTGACAATTTTTTCGGCCTTTCAAAATAGAGTTTAAAATTGTTTTTTATAATATTTGGAATTTCAAAATCCGCATTAAAATCTAGATGGTTCATACAATTTTTCACTTTACTAATACAATTATCATCATTCATTTTCTAAATTACAAGTGAGTCGCCAAAAGTTCTACTAGTTTACTGCAATTCGTATTTATGGATTCATGTGTTTTTCATGGGAAGGGAATGTGAAAGACACCATTCACCATTCAGAATAACATTCAAGAAAGACATGTTTCTTAAAAAAAGATAGATGTCAATAAATTCTTCAAATATATGTTTCAAAACTTCTAACTTAACGTATTGTTAGGATGGCTTTTATATGTTCAATTCAAAGAACTAAACAGCAAAATAAAGAAATAAAAAAACTTCAAATAACATTCCTCCAATTACGATTTTTTTTTAGTTTTTATTAATCACTTTAGGTATAAAATTTTGAAAAAATATTAATTTTTAAAGTATATTAATAAAGTATGTATTAATTTTCATAATTATTAATAGAAGATTATTAAAATTTTAAAATAGTTTGTATTTCTAAAAAATTTGTAAACCCAGTCACAAAAGCTTTCTCTCTATTTTTCCCTACCCATATAATTTTTAAGAATAATTATTAAATACTTATGAAAAAAAAGTTTAAAATGAGAAAAAGTTTCAAATTTTATCGCTCAAAAGATTTTTTTATTACGTAATTATATCATAAAAAAAACCTTTATTTCAAAGAACAGCTTTTACACATAATTTTTACAGAGGAGCATAGTCACTAAATGTTATTTCTCATAAAGAATATCACAGCAGTGAAAATAACAATTTTCTTTAGTTAAACTGTATTTGCATGCAAAAACCAGCATAAATGAAGAGTAATGTTTTGTACATTCTAATTGAGAGGTATCTTATCTTTCTTCCACTTATACATAGCTGAAGTTTCTCTCAAAATGTTTGATTAACTTTTGACTTAACATTTGAAAACATAAAAATATTGACTCATTTTTAGCTGCTAGTAATTTGTGTAAATTTTCTTTACAGTCTTGATGAAATTATTCAAGTACACAATTTAAAATTGTCATTGATAATCAGATAGCGTGATTTGAATAATAAATAATCTAAAGCATTTAGTTAAGCAATTGACGATATTTTACATCTTTTTTTCTATTCTTCGTTTACTTTTTCCGAAAACCTAAGGGAGTTTTCTGTAACAAAATAAATCCAATATGAAAGTTTTATTATGTATTTTTCACGTAAAGTATATGATTTATTCAAAGATCCAAGGCTAAAAAAAATTTTAAACTTTGTTGCAGTCAATTTAAATGTGTGTGGCAAACTTTGAAACGCGAAATATTCGTATGTTTGAAAATTTGCTTAGGAATTTTAAAAGGAGTTCCGCAGAATATTTAGTCTGAAATAGAAGTCTCTTAACTGAAATTATGTGATTCGTATCGATGAGCATTATTAGCATGATGAACACACTTAAAACAAAGATGATATAAAATGATTTTTATTAAACGTAGCTTTAGACAGTAAAATGTAGTGTTTTGACTTTCAATTTTGTTTTTCTCGTGGTTTCTCTAAGTAAATGAGATTTTTTTCAATGTTAAAAAAGTACACCAGTAACAAAGTTACAGAATGATTTGTATTGTATTAAATTCATTCAAATTTTATTGATATTTCCTCAATAATATAATAAATGTCTGGATTTTTTGTTATATAGTTAGCCTTCATATTCTAGCATACGCAAATTCCTTGTGATTTTCATCTTACTATACTTCTGGTTTTCCAATACATGGGTTCGTATAATCCAAATTTTTTTTTTGTGTGCATTAGTGAATCTTGATCACTGAACGGAAGATATTTTCTCGGTAAAGTAAATAAAAACATTTAATACGAGGTTCTTGTTTAATGCACCACTTATGTGTTGGCGACAATGTTTAAAGCAAAAGTTTCCCGCCAAGGCCATTTGGTTGAATTTTAAGCAATAGGGTATTAAAAAATTCAAGAAGAAGAAGATCACGGATACCCACACATGTGACATATGACGTTATTGTCAGCTGGTCATTTATAAGCAAAACGGAATTTTTAAGTTGAGCTAAGTTTCTCCATATAAGTTAGGTTATTAATTAACGTGAAGTTAATTAAATACAAATCCGAATCGAACTGTTTCTCGTCAAAGTCTTCTACTCTACTTAGACTTATTATTTGTTTGTGTATTTTAATATAACCAGGATATATTTTTGCTTTGTGTACCTGACAACTTCGATGCATAATTAGTTTATGTTCTCCATGACTTCATTACTGTGTGTTAAGTAAGAAATATATAGTGAAGGAATAGAAATATTTGTTAAAGAATATAGAAGGTGTCACTTAAGAGAATTGATATTTAGCGGGCTTGGCTTACTCGAAATGGAATGGGAAGAACAGTTGCTAACGTCAACAACTAATCAGGATCGAGATATCCACACATGTCACTTGCAGGTATCTCATTAACTTAATGAAGCTAATTTGACATAAATATGTATTTTTTGTGAAAAACTACTGCGGTAACCAAAATAACTGAAATTATTCAGGGATTTTTAAAGCTAGTTAAAAGTCACTAAGATGGATCATCTGATACAGAAATGACATTTACATCTTTCTATGCATAAGAATGGTGATATGGTGTATCCATTCAGCACTTGGAGGAACATTGAAAGATGACTTAGATCATTTTATCAATGTGCTGTAATGTGTAAATTGCACGAATAGAAGCTTTGGAATTCATGATGTATCCGTTCATTATGATTATTTTAATAAATTTTAAGATCTTACTTCACGAAATTAAAGATATAATTTCGTTTTATAATGTTTCGAGAATTGGGGTAACAACTTACATTCTTGCAGTCATTGCTTTGAAATGTTTTATTTAGGACCATTTTTACGTATTTTTGTTTTTATGGCAAATAAAACGATTTTTTTTAACCTTAAAAGCATTTTGTTAACGCAAACAAGCTTCTACACATGCAAATTTGAAGTAATACCTTTTCTACTTGAAATTTGATTTTAAAAAATAAATAGAATTAAAAATGCATGCATGGGGAAAAATTTTGGTGTATAGTTGCCACCATTTTTGGTATTGCTGTAAACTAAATACATAAACATACAAATAACTTTAAAATTCTAAAATAAAATTATTTTATTTCCACCCCTATTAGTAGTAGTTTTTTGACTTCGACATATTCATCGACTAAACTCAGTGGCGCGACAGCTCATATATTCATCAACATATACATAAAATTTCATCAAAAACCATAAAATTTGGTTAGTAAAGCTAAACTAGGAGCTCTTCTGCAATTTGTAAAATAATCTATTTTTCCTTTGTCAGAAAGGTTTTAATATGCCAATGACATGCAAATTGACACAATTTAAGAATTTAATAAGGGAAAAATTATGGAAAAAACAGTTCAACGGAAAAAATAATAAAACATGAACGATTAATCGTAAAATAATTAAACACGATTTGCTAGTAAATCTTTCTAACCATTTATTGTTAGGCAGCATAGATTCCAACAACTACTTCGGATTCTTCGTAGTATAAAAGGATTTTTTCAGTGGTAGTAAACTAAAGCAGAATTGTTTGAAAACAGAAACAAACTTAAGAACTTAAATATTCGTGTACATGATTTTATTAAATCTGTTTAGATTAGTTGAGTTTGTGGTGGTCAAAATTCAATTAAATCTAATTTAATTAAATATAAATTGTTATCATTGTTATTATTAGAAAAACTTTCTTCCTGAAACTACGTATAATCCGTAGCACTTGGAGATAATGTTGCCTGCTAAATGTAAGGAAATGTATAAATGTTTACAGAATCCTAATAATCTGTGTCTAGCTAAAATTGGTTTTATTAAGAGACAAAATTTCAAATTTCCATCTGGTAAGTTATTTAGAAAAAATTTCTTTTATACGTTACGGAGGTCAAGCGTAAACACGTTGATATACAAAAGTTTATCTTAACCGAAGATAGAAAAAAAAATTTGTTTATTTTCTTCTTATTTTTTTACAAAAAATTGAGCGTTTCGTGATGATCACCCTTAACATGGATTTTTAATACCAACAAAAAGTAAAAAGCGAAAATAAAGCAAAGAAAAGCCAGCACGCACACGCATTAGAGGTTTAATACTGATATCTAAATCAAGGGAGGGCCGGGATAGTCTGATCGGTAGGGAGTTGGGCCCATGCCCGAGAGTTTGTGGGTTCGAATCCCGTCAACCGAAGACTTCCCGTGTAGTAAATGGTGACTGATACACACTAAATCTGCCGAGTCGCAAAGTCCTCCATGCTCCCACAACAAATCAATACCTCCGGGAGTACTGGATTGGATATCGATCGTTCTCTGATTCAGGTCGAAATTACGATCTGTGGATGAATGAATGGATGTATGAATGGGTCCACCCTATAAACGGGTTGTGACATGTGTGTGGCTGAAGACGAATTCTTGGCCACAGATCGCGCCACTGAAGAACATGAAACGCACCCTCTACCTTAAATATCCGTGGTTTCACCAAGCAGGCTTGCTAGTGTGGTAAGTGGCATTAGAAACAACAACAACAAATCAAGGGAAAAATTAAAACTCTATCGTATTCAGTCGAGTTTGATTGAGGAAAATGGGAGGGAAAAGATCTAAACCAGATTGATTATCTGATGATATTTTAGGTGTTTCTGACCAACCGGTGTTACCTTCTGTTTCTTCCATCAATTATGCGTTTTTTTTTAATACTAAAAAAAGTTTTTTTGTTTTCAATATGCCTCCGTCAGTACTTCTTCACTAGATTTAAAATGCACTTATTTTTCTTCCCTGACAAAAATATGAATTTGCGATCCTCAATATATAGACTTTTTAATTTCTTTTTTGACGAGGACTTTAAAATTATGCATAATATTGCCTGATTTTGAATCCTTCATTATTACAGTATCTACGATTTACTTTTAACAGTGGGAGAGAATTTATTTTCTCTCTAAGCACTTTTAGTAATAAATTGAGTAATTTTCGATTCATAATACTTTATAACGTATAGTATAGATTTCTTATTGAATTATTTTCTTTCAGGTTTTAAGGATTGATACCGATTTCGTTGTCTTTAATCCTAAATTCTGTCCTGAATATGATGAAAATGTGAAGCGTTTTTGTAAAGACACATGCATGATAAATTTTGAAGTTGATTGTAGTTTTTGAATAAAAGTAATTTTCCTGATTGAAAATTCTTGTTATTGCCTTATTGCCATTGAAAATAGTAACAGCAATATTAATTATGATACATTAATGCTTATTTATACGCAAAGCGAATTAAAATGAATAATATAGTCGCTACAAAGCCTTTTTTTAGTTTGAAATATAATTTCGCATTCAGACGAATGCAAACAGATAGTAAAATATAATTCTTAATTTAGTTGCTGTTTAATAAATAATATGCACATTAAACTAAGGAAAACTGTAATTTTGAATAAAATAAAGTCTTTAAAATAGTTTAATAAAAAAAATTATTCACTGGAAAACGAAAGTGAACTATATCGATACTTGACCAATCGCTTTTCTCTCTATATATAAAAGCTAAAGTCGGTCTGGATGTTCGCTAGCAAGTGAAAGCTGATGTACCGATTTGAATCATGTTATTTTTAGCTGTCTGTAAATTTTCAAGGGATGGCTTGTAAAGAATCGTCTGTCTGGCGTTATGTGGATCGGGTGCTGTATCGGAAATACAAAACTTCATTGATAAAAATTACAGCTGTAGATTAAAATGTGCTCTGTCATGGAAACAGCATTTTTACAAATTATTTAAGAAATAGAGGCAGACGAAACTATTAGAAAGAATAAAATGTGCTTAAAGCTCACTAAACTTACAGAAGTAAAGTGTGCTGGAAACAGATATGTAGGTTGACATAAATTATTGGAAATTGAAGAAATATTATACTTCACCATCAGTGATAATGTTAAACATATTCCTTATTCTTATTCGTCCAATCGGTGTTTCAATTTAAAAACTTTTAAATTCTTTACGTTCTAATAGAAATGCTTAATTCATATCTCTATAGAAACGTATTCCTATTGGTGGTGAAATCCTAGAATACAGGGCTAAAGAGAATAGAAGGGCTAGTTCACTCCGCTCTTAGAGCTGAAGCTACGATTTCCCTCCTCATGACGTCACTGTGTCTACAGATCTCGGAGATCGCAAGCAAAGATATGATAACTTTGCATCTTTCTCTTGTAAAAATAAGTTAGACTTTTTCTGGTTATTAGCCTTCAAACTTTACGTAATTAACACATTATTTCCGTTCATAAACATAGTTCAAAAAAAACTTTCTTGGTTATTATATTAAAAAAATACCATTTTAAACTTATAAAAATGTTTTGCTAGTTGGTGAAAATGACACGATAAATACTTTATTTTAAAAAGTTCAGTTTTAACTTTAACTATTAAGAAAAATGAAGGCATATATCGACACTTTTTTTATCTACATATTCTTTTATAAAGATAAGTTAAGTTAAATTTAGAATCCCTGATTTTAAAATATGTCGTTAATAGCAATTTGTTCATACTTAATCATTAGGAAACATCAACCTTAAACGCTAATTACTGAAACAAAATAATAATTTAGGTTCATAATGACATTAGAAATTTTACAATTGTTTATAGACATTTAAATTTACGATGATATAATTTATAGATATTTAAATTGAAGAGAATATAATTTTTAAAAAAAATCATAAATATTTAGAATAACTACATTAAAAAATATGTTATGAAATTAGGAGAATTCCAACTATATTCTGTATATTTTATTTATACTTTTTATTTACATTTTAATTTTCTTTGACTTTATCCATTTTTTAAATTTTTTCACCTGCCTTTCTTTTTGAAGTAACGAAGCGGTTTCTATTTAGATAATGAATTTTTATAAAAGTTCTTAGCGACTGAATAAGCGCATTGCTGTTTTATATTAACTGTGTCATTTCGGAATCCATTCTTTGCATAGTTGTTCATTTACTTTAGGGAACACGCGAAAAATTACATTTTTTTCCTTTTGTTTTTCTATCAAAATTTTTTCAAGTTGCAATCGCGATAACTGGCATTTCGATAATAGTTTTATATTCTTGTAAATTCACAGCAAAAACTGAGGAAAGTCATTATAGAAAATAACAAATGTTTTAGAATATCTCGCAAAAAGAAATGCTCCAATATTAGTTAGAGTATTATTACAATAGAGTTAGAGTACAATATTAGTAAGGCCGAACGCTCCGTTCTTGAAGTAAAAGTGCGAGCTTTGCGCCAAAGTGACGTCACTAGAGCAAATCGGAGGATTGGCGCGGCGAGAGCTACTTCAAAGGAGTGAACCAGCCCTTCTATTCTCTTCAGCCCTGCCTAGAATAGCTCACCTCTTGGCGACTTTTTGAAATCTCACTGAGTTGGCGATTATTACCGGGATCAACATTGCTTTTTGATTATTAAAAATAAACAAAAATTTACTCGTTCATTCGCTCGCCATTTTCAACCGGTACTGCAAAACAAATAAATAAATAAATGAAATAATAACGACGACTCTCTAACTGCAAGAGATCAGTAGCATAAATGGCGGAAAAATAAGCCTTTTCCCTCTTTTCTAACGAAATCCAACTTTCGCGTAGGTATACATATCAAATAACCACTCAGGTTTAAGAATTTCGGTGGTGTGATCGGACATTCAAAATAAACTTCCAAAAATATCTTCCGGAAACTTAGTTTTGTGCGATTAAAAAACTTGTATGGCGAGATTTAAAAAATTCGCCACTGGGTGGGCTATTCTAGGATCCACCCCTTATTGGTTGCTATCTGTAACTGAGTGGTCATTGATGAATTCCAGTGGATTAGTAAGTGAAGTGATGTCAGTTTAGACATCTCTATAATAAAACATTTTAATTCCAACTATTAATAATAATTAATTAATCACATCTTTTTTGATCACGAATTTTAAATTCTGAAACTTTATATTATCATCCTTTAAATGAAAATATTATAAATTCCTAAAAAAACAGTACTTATCGGTTATTGGTATCATACTGTCAAGCTCGCCAACAGGAAGAACAGTGATAATCTCTGATTTTCCCAGGTCACCGGCTATCGACAGTATCGTGAATATTATATAATGCGATAATTATTGTCTTAAGTATTGGTGTGAATATTGACAACATGTATTTGGGTAACAAAAATATTGACACCAATGTAGAAATTAGATTAATTAAGTAAATATTACTGTATGTATTTGGCAATACATCCAGATTTGCACACATTAGTCATGGATGTTAATGCTTGCGCGTGTCACAAATCGAAAAAGCAGTAGCCAACGTTTGGTCTGATAAGTAGAAGATGAAAGTTTCGATAACACCGATAAGTAGAAGATGATAGATAGGAGACCAACATCGGTCTTGATTTTGTACGACTTGAATTTGTAAAAAACTTGAAATTCTACTTATTTAAAAAGGCAGAACAGCTGGTCTCCGAAGGCGGCGAGTAGTTTACAAAATTTCTATTGCTTTTATTTACTTCAGCTGTTCTTTAGGTAAATAAGTTGCTTAGGTTTAGGTAAATATGGTCAATTTTTATAGTATTAACTGTCTGAATTCTAACACATGTGAATTACAATAAAAAAGTGAGAAAGTAAAAGAGAGAATAATGCTTTTTTTGGAACACAGCGTAACTTTAGTATAACCGCTTGTGCAAATACTTAAAACTCATTACCAAATTTTAAAAGGACGGAACATCTTAAGTCTAATGAATCCAGAGTGCCTTAAAAAACAGACTACCTTAAGAAAATAGACTAATAATTTACATTAGATAACAAACCAAATTTCTAGATAAAGAAATGTGTTCCAGTTGTCTTGGTAATGAAAGAATAAGATAAAACATGATTGAGTACTTAATATTTATGTAGGCATAAATAAATAAGGTATATTAAATAATTAATTTAGGTATTAAATGATAGATGATTTAGTTATTTAATGAAACAAAAATTATTCAAAAATATAAATTAGTTACTGAATAAATAAAGAAATTCTGGATAGAAAACTCTCCAAACTTAATATTCTTTCTCTGCCCGAATCGTAACCTTAAATGAGATTTTGATGTTGTTAAGAGCAATTGTATTTTTGGGCTGTTCTCTTATGAGAAAAAGATTATTGTCTAGACGATGTAATAAATACATATCATCATAAGTATTAATATCTTACTAGAATTGAAAAAATGTTCTTTGATGTTCTAAAGAACTTTATTGTGTCTTTGAAACTGTTCAATAAAATAAGAGTTTTTTAATGAAACGATATTAGTTTTTAATTACACTAATTATTCTTAAGGATTTTATTGATGGAATTCTTATAATAGAGAAGTATGAGTGCATAAGAATATCTTTAACATATAGAACATATTTTATATATAAACAGCATTAAAAGTATGGAATTTTTATCCGTAATTTGGAACACACTTATAATTTTTGGACGTGATAAATCATGTTTTGTTCTTTAAAATAATTGAAAAACAACATCTTTTTTATAAGTTCGCCGTGTCAATTAGAACAAATTGATTAAACTTAGCAGGCAGCTCAAACTATGTTTACATAGAGGGCGTTACCTACCTATCAGTAGCATTATTGTTTTTGTGACTATTCAGTATAATGAGACAACATTTTATGTAACAAATAAATTGCAAATTGAGTTCAGTCTTGGTTTGAATTTGATTTGATAATCCAGTTTGATTTTCTATATCTAATTTTATTATACATATTTGTTTGTATATTATATATATAAATATAAATNGTTTCTTCGTTTTGTAAATTTCTATAGCATAACAGTAAAAAAATCTCTCTGATGTACTGTTTCGATTGCCGATTATTATTAAACGAAAGTTGAAGTTAATATTAAGGAAAAAAAGATTTTTTTAAAATTATTTATTTATTCAATACTTAACAAAATTTCTACTACTATTTCTTCAATAAATCTAGACATGAATATAAATTATACTTTCAAAAACAATGATTTCTTTCTGGAATAAGATTGCATGGTATGCGTGCAAAAATTTAGTAACTTAGATTGGGTAGATAAATGTGGTTCGTAGATCTGCTGAGCAATCTATGAGTAGTGTGTTGTCTGCATAAATACTGATATTAATATATTTTTCTGTATAAAAAAATCCGAAGTAAAAGGAATATTTTATTCTCTCGGTAAAGATAAAATA